GACCAAGTCACCATGAATTAACATCAGTGGCAGGTTTTTCTAGAACATACTGGAGTCCAATGATAAACCCATTACAGCTCACCCAGAACCAGTAGTAAGCTCTGTCACTAGATGGCATGTAAGCCTAATCCTTTTACTATAGAACTATTTACTGAAAGCGACTGATAGACCATGTTTAGTAACTGGACAGTTGCACAATAACCCAGTGATCTCATTATTAAGCTGCTGTGTCAAAGATTATGAAAGCAGGGTTTGAGTCATACTGTTAATCAAACAAAACCCCATATGAATGATGTAGATTTTTATTTTTGTACACTGATATGATGATGTCAGATCATTTCTCCCGTAATCTTTTTTTTTTGTGTGTCCATTTCTGCCACCAGCCTGTTGATGAACTATGATAACGTGGAGCTGACTTTCTGTGATGCAGAAAGTCTCCCTGAAGCCTTCAGAAAGAGCAAGAAGGGCAGCGTCTACCTAACTCCGTACAGGGTGAGAGACAAGACCCAGACGTCTTATTTGGTATTTGGTCACACCATCATGCTGCCTTTTTGCTGTCACCATTGACCGCAAGTACACAACAACCTGCAGAACTATGGTTCCATTAATAAGCAGGTTTAGCTTTCCCAAAATCCTATAAAGCAGCAGGGAAAGGTCTTGTGAGTGACGAGACGATGCTAGTTTCTGTTGTTTCCTCTCAGGTGATCTTCGTGGCTAAAGGACGGGATGCCCTGCAGTCCTTCATGATGCCCTTCTACCTAATGAAGGGCTGTGAGATTAAACAACCTGTACTGGGAGCCAATTACATCAAGGGCACTGTCAGCGCAGAGCCTGGCGGTAGGTATATGTGTGTGTGCGCAGGTACATGTGTGTCAGCTATGAATGTATAGTATTCTGTGTCTGTTGTTCAGCACTCAGTAACTACATGGACCCCTCCAATCTCTCTTACAGGTGGCTGGGAGGGCACTGCTACATTTAAGTTTGTCTTTGCTGCTGGAGGAGCGATAGAGTTTGGCCAGTACATGCTGCAGGTGGCAGCTCAAGGTAAAGTTACACATCAACACTACCGGTGTCATAAAACTTTTGTGAAAGTCCTGATGTTCTGGCTGACTTCCCTCTATTGTTTCTTCATCCTTTGCCTTCTCCTCCCCCTTTGTGTCTCGCAGCTTCAAGAGGTCAGCCGGTGACTTCTGGCTTTGGTGGATGCCCCTACATGGCCAACGGGGCCTACGCTTACCCTCCTCCCCCTGCTAACGGCATGTACCCTGCCGGACCTCCACCCGGCTACTCCTACCCCAACCCTCCTCCACAAGGTAGGGGCTGTAATAATTGCCGTCATTGTGATCACCACCTTGATTTCTCAATGCAAATCTCCTTCAAGTCTCGTGGAAGTGTTCACGGCAGCTGGTCTTATTAGACTATGTGCTCCTGCCGTCCAGGTGGCTTCTACCCCAGCCCTCCAGCGTTTGATGCCTCTGCGGCCTACATACCTCCGCCTCCTTATTCTGCTCCTCTGGGCCAGCAGCCCCCACATGACCCAGACCTCCCCTCCTCAGCAGCAGGTGCGTCTCTCTGGCCAAGAGGCTCTGGTTTGTAGCTAGGTGGTGATCACTCTGGTTCATTCCAGGTGTAAATAAAAATGAGAATGGAAAGGAACTGCTGGCTCTGAGTTGATTTAGGAAGCTTACCGTGGGACTTAAATGATCAAAATAGTTGCTGATTAGTTTCAATTGACTCATGGATTTGACTAAACTTTTAATCTCTAATCGCGTTTTACAAAATTGTTATGTCACAATTATATAATAGAAACTAATGAAATTATTTATTGAAGTGTCTGTGAGAGTTTTGTCTAATGTTAAGCATATCAGTGGAACAGTTACATTTTATTTTGCAAACATTGGCCATATCTTGATATATGTCAACATTGCAAATATGTTTTTTAATATAATTTAATATCGCATTTTATTGTGTTATACAGTTACAGAACATACAAAAACAAAATTATAATCTGAGAAACAGATAACAGGTAAAAAAGGACAATAAAATAACTGATTACATAAATATCAGTTTGTAGGGTATAGTTGATTGATTACTGATGAATTCACAACAGAGGACACATTATACTAGTAACCGGGTATCATAAATACCTCCACTCACAAGTAATTACCCCCCCATGGGAGGATCATTAGAAACAGAGCTGCGACGTCATGTCATTCACCAAATTACTCAGCAACTACTTTTACAAATGACCAATCGTCATTTTTCAATAAAACGTCCAAACTCAGCTTCTGGAATGTAAATACTCTCTCTTCAGACCTCTATGACAGCAAATTGAATAATTTTAGCTCGAGGACAAAACAAGACGTTTGAGGATCCAATTTTGGGTATTGGGGAACGAAAAAAGTTTTTTTTTTCCCATTCCATATTTTTTATTTACAGGACAAGTATTGGCAGGTTTACATTTTTAACAGATTCAGAAAAAAATTGCATAACTCCAAATAGTAATAGTTCCATTAGCCGAAGCCACGGAATAATGCTGTCTTCATTTCCTTTCCCCCTCCTCATTACACCACTCTCTGTACCTCAGGCTTGATTAGCTCCAGTCGTCTCGTATATCCCAGGGATTAATGGTAAGACCATGTTTAATTAACGTCCCCTCCCCTCCTCTCTTTCCCAGCGGAGGCCAAAGCAGCTGAGGCAGCAGCGAGCGCCAGCTGTGCCACACTGCCTCATACACACGTGTACCTGCCGCAGGTAAGATAAGAGGTTCCTTTATTGATCCCCCTTACGGGAAATTCAAATGTCAGCTGCCCTCCATCACTCTGCTATGCATCTGATGTTGATCTGATTTATCAGCAGTTTGCTAGATATTGGGTTTGATGTGGTCTTTTTTTATTACAGGTCAGGTGTGGGCTAATTAGTGTCACTCACCTGTAGCGGTTGAATCGTGCCGTTTGAGAAACAACCATTTGCTTCCTTTCATACATTTTGCATCAAACACTTTAAAGGTCCAGTGTGTAAGATTAATGGCATCTAGCGGTGAAGTTGCAGATTGCAAACTGAATACCACTCTCACCTGTATTTGATGACCTGGGAATGAGAACAGCCTGTGAATTCTGTAGGAGAAACTATGGTGGCCATGAAACTCTAGGCCCCAGCTACAGCCAGTGTGTGGTTTGTCCCTTCTGGGTTACTGAAGAAACATGGCGGTCTCTGTAGAAGAGACCCTCTCCCTCTGTAGATAAAAACGGCAAACAATTCCTATATTCAGGTGATTATAGACTAATGAAAACATACCTATGAATATTATATTCCATGTCTGTCAATAGATCCTCCTAAATGTTACATATGCATATATATATATATATATGCATATGGTGGTGTGTTCTTGTTACTATGAAAAAATTAGATGTTTAAAAAATTGCAATATATCACAATGTACTGAATCGTAATCCCTGTATCGCGATACGTATCTTATAACCAAATCCACAGCGCTACCTTTTATGGTGTATTAAAATGTATTGAACTAAAGTGGGGGAACAGTCTTAAATTCGTGTCGTCCTGAAGGCCTTTAACATGCTCAGGATGGATTATTGTACAGCACTGTCTCAACCCATACCTCTCCTCTCTCCATAGGACAAGCCTCCTCCCTACTCCCCCCCAGAGGACAAGAAGAACCAGTAGACCAGCTTGTTCTCACCCTCATTCCTCTCTGTCTCTCTGTAACCTCCATCCATACTGGATCACCTTGTTTCTCATTCCATTAACTGGACATCGGGAAGGCCAAAGTTTTCCTTTGTAACATGAATTCTCTCTTTCTCACCTTGCCAGTCCCCTTCCAGCTCAGTGCTTTTGGTTTCACTTTTTTCTTCTCACATCGCTTTCCCACCTCAACCTATACCTTTTACATCCCTTTTAATGATTCATATATTGTAATCAGCTTCATTCTCTTCAGAAGCACCTTTACTTGATGGAAACTAGAAGTATTGGTAGCAACAAGAAGATTGTTCTGACAGAAGTTGTCAGGATTTGGTGGCTTTTTTCAATGTAGTTGACAGAAACTTTGTAACCTGACCAGCTATCTTAGCGTTCATTGCCTTGCAGGTGTCCCAAACTTTAGATTCAGCTATGCTGTGAAGCTCACGTATAATTTTCCATGACTGTCTTTCAAACTAGACTGAATCGGATGATGTTAATTACTTTGCTAATCTGTTCAGAGGCAAGCTGAATGCAGTGTTTTATTTTTCTATTATTTGTGTGTACAGGCTTGTAATATGTATTCTTTAAAAAAAAAAAAAATGCAATATTTTCTCAAGAACACTAACCTAGAGGAAAAACTAGCTTTTGTAAAGAGAGCAGATTGTGGGGTGGTCCGGTCTGCTTCGACATGTTTTAGCGGATGAGAGGGACCGCGAAGATTAGAGCATCGCCAAGCCCCAGTGCTGAATCCCTGATCCTGGATTAGAGCAGAGAGCGAGGGCGACCAGGGCCCGGAGGGACGTACTGCCAGGAGGGATTATCTTTGTAATGTACAAGAGCAGAGCAGTCACCCAGTGATGTCACTTCCTGTTTTGTCATGCGTTCGAACATTCGAGAACACACATGGTCAGACTCACCGCCAGCCTGCTTCGCCTTTCATTCTTCTAACTCACATTTTAGACATCATAGAAACAAACAGGACCATTAGAGGGGTTTCTCACTGTTTCTACTTTCTGTGGTTGTGATCTTAACTCTCCAGTTTGAGGTCAGTGTTGATAACTGATCTGAGCACCTCAGTATCTGAGCCTCTACTCTTCCTTCCTCTATGGTAACTAATCTATATACTGTATCTGTGACACATCTGTGGCTGATTATTTGCACTTACAGAATGCTATGCATCAGGCTCCTCTTTGCTCTGTCATGGCTGTGTGTAAAAATAATAATAAAGCTCTGTATTTATTTCAAACTAATTTATTGAATAATTCATGTAAAATGGCTCAAGTAAGAAAAACAAAGCATGGTCTCAGCTAATGCATGTATGCATTGGATTGGATTTTATTAAATGGATCTTGACTCATGTGAAACAGAACTGTCTTTGTCTTTATTTCTACACTGAGCATTGCTATTATCACACATTGATGGGTAGTCCACTTTGAACACAGCATAGTGCATTAGGATAATGAAACATATTCCAGAGTCAGCCGGAGGGGTGCTGTTTTTCGCGGTTAGGCCAAAAACAGCCTGGAAATGAATGCTTTTCCCTTCTCAGTCAGTAGTCCTCATCTGCGCTTCTGGACAACTTGTGCAAATCCACAGCAGTTTCCCAAAGACTGATGTCCTGAGCCTCGAGTACCTCCACATTCCAAAGGTCACAGCTTTGCCCTCTTAAGTGCTCGTGATTAAAAAAAAAAAAAAAAGGTAAAAAGTCTGTTTAAAAACATTTGTACAGTACAGCAGATTCCATCACAACACTGTCAGCGTCACAGGTTTGAGACTGTACAGGCAGAGCAATTTATTTGTGCATTCATGCTAGAAATAGAAATGTTGTTCCATTTTTTTCCGGCCTGTACTCTCAGTAGTAATGTACAACCCACAACGATTTGGTTTCACCTACATCGCTTATGGTACAACATGGGAGGGTTCAGTTTACCCTGCAGTGGCTTATCGCCCTGTACGCACCATATTATGAACGGTCTCCCATATTTCTGTGGACTGAATTCCAGCAAGAGATGAAAACTAGTTAAGAGCATCATTTTTAGGGATTTTCTTCTCGTGGCCTCTACTTGAACTTAAAAATTAAATTTTCTAAATTCAAGTTTAACCAGGAGAATTACCAGATTTTCAGACTGCTTGGCCGATATTGTGAAGTCCTTAAAAATGGCCTCTCATTGCATTACAAAACAGTCCCTTTCTCTCTCTTACACTTATTTTGCTGCAATGAAACTAATATGTTTTCATCCATCTCCAGCTTACAGAAAGGAGACTTTTTAAAAAGGCAGTGGTCAATTAGAGACTCTGATCCCAGGAAGAACCACGCTTATTTGCTTTGTTGCAGAGTAAGAAGATTGTCTGTCTGTACCCTTAATATCAAGCTAAAGCCAGCAGATGGTTAGCTAACTTAGAATAAAGACTGGAATCGGGAGAACAGAGAGCCTGAGCTCACTCTTTAACACATTCCACATTATTTAAAAATACTACAAAGAGTTGGTTATGAAAGAGTTTCAATTTAATACTGACGCCTCTATATGACCTATATCAACAAACGAGCGTTAGCAGCAAGACTGGCTATGCCTATATAATTCTCAGTGCTGTAACGCCTGCCACTGGGTCGGATTGTGTTGGATTCCTCTCAAAATCACAACCTCTTTTGTCCACAGGAGCTGCCAGAATCAACACAAAATGAAAGCTGCTTTAAACGATGAAAAACCAGAGTGCTGGTCACTGCTGGTTGCCAGGCAACAAGATACAACATGTTAATCAGTGAGCTTTATAGGTGCTGGTAGGCAGGTTTTGTTACGTGTGGACAGAGCCAGGATAGCTAATTCCAGTCTTTGTGCTAAGCTAAGCAGCTAGCTGGCTCTAGCTTTTTATTTACCACAGATGTGGTACTGATCTTCTCACCTAACTCAGCAAGAAACAAAACAGGCCTATCTTCCAAAAATGACGTCTTCAAAGCAGACTAGAGTCAGGCACAGTAAAATCTGACTCACACACTGAAGGTTGTGTATTTGTAAGAGCAGCCAAACTGCACGTGTGCCACACTCGACAATCTGGGGGTTCAAGAAAATAATGCCGGAGTAGTTGTAGTGCAGCACTCTAAAAGCAACACAATGGATAAACTGATACCCCTGTGCTCTTCAGAAACCCTCTCCTTTCTAACTAATTACTCATACAACAGCATGTATGTGGATTTTATGAATCAGTGGGTTTTATAATGGGACATCAGCCCACCTGTAATAAATGCATATTGCCTTGCAGTGGAACAAGGTGTAGTGAAAGTACAATAATCTGACATACTGAGTTGAGGAGATTGGGTATTTCCTACCTGAAAGCAAATGAAGTTGTGCTGTCAGTAAAGTACAACGCTAAGGGCCGTTAGGACCACAGTTTGTGACCATTTTATGTTATTGTCATGATGTAAGTTATACTGTGAATAAGCCAAAACTAGGTGGCCAGTTTGGGGCCATATCATTCAGTTCTTCTGCTTAAAACAATGTAGGAAGGCAGTCATTGTAAAAAGAAAAAGAGAAAGATTAAAAAAACCTCCTAAATGGTTATGGGGGGATGCTCTATGTTGAGTCAGCTAGTGCCCATGATTGATAGTGCTTATTACGCCACTCCCTTCTTCGCCCCTCTTTATGAGTCCGCTCATGTGGAGCAGAGGGTGATGCTGACGCCCTCTCCTATCCAGCAGGCGGGGAACAGCTCCTGGGTGAAGGCACAGTGGAAGGCGTGGAGCCTGGTCTGCCCGTCTCCGTAGTAGGTGAGGGTTCCCGCCTCGTAGTCAAGCAGCATGCCGATGCGGCTGTGCTGGGAGTGTCCGGCCAGAGTCTCCCTCCGGCCGTTGTGCCAGGCGCTCAGCTGGTGCTCGTCCAGCTGCAGGCTCCAGGACAGATCGTTCATACCCACCATGCACTTCTTGCCCTTCTCCTTCCGAGGGATGGTCTCGTAGGTTACCTGTCGAGAGGCGGGGGGTGTTAATTGTATGTAGTGCATATTTTTATGTGAAATGTATATGTTTTGCTAGTTAAAACAATTTTCCTTTTAAAAGAGATGTGAAGCGGGGTTGTGTGAGGTACTGATCCATAGTTATGACAGTGACGCTGCAATGTGAGTGCCTAAGTAAAAGGCTGTCTGATGGCAAAGCGGTGGAAATGTTCTTAATACAGTGTACACTTAATGATGTAGATTCTTTTAAGGCGGTATTTGTTTGTGGCTGAAATAGGGTTTTCTGCTGACCCTGTGTTCAGCAGTGCATTGCTCTGCTTCTCCAGACTGGGGGCATGCTGACCTCCATCTATTGCAGGTAACACACTGACTTTGGATAAGTACCTCAAACAACCCTACTTCAAAAAACGACCCCATTGACAGTTATTGACAGCTACTGTTACAGTTGTTTTTAGATAATGTCAACTTTAGTAAACTGCTCTCACAACAACTGTGACAGCCACAATGGGCGTGGTTCTTTACCCCGAGGTAGGCCCAGGGCTTGGACACCTCCAGCTCCCAGTAGTGCTGTCCATGTTTGAAGCCCTGAAAGCAGAGCACCTGCCAGGTGTGATCGAAGCGGGCTTCATGGGATGGGACGGGACGTGGCCCAGAGGCCAGGTGCTCCGCCCTCCGGTTCTCCTGGGACAGAAACAGGTGCATGTTGGCCGTGCGCGGGTCGAAGGTCAGGGAGCATCGGTCTGTAATGAGGAAGACAGGAATCAGACAGAATGAAGCGGGAACTGATATCTACACTGTTCACATATTTCTTTCCTGTGCCAATAACCTGTGTGACCTTTGCTGTCCTCATTTTTGACCTCGTACTGACCTTGTAATTAATGGGATCCAAGCTTATTTCCCTGCTGCACTTTTGCACATCATTAATAATTAATAAGTACCAGGACCAGGACATACTTGGAACAAAGACGCATTCTGTAATGTTTGATAGGACTCACAAGCACTGAGGCCCTCCTTCCCTCCAGGGTGGCATGGAGCAGCTGGACTGGGAACCACGGCGAGGATCGGCCTCTTATCCTGAGGAGATCCTGGAGACCAATGACAAGCTTGAGAAACACAAGAGCAAAGATTGGGGAATAAACTGCTGGCAGATCAAGCTTCAATTGCTACAGAGGAAACATCATTCCCAGAGGGCAGGTTACCGTCTTTATCCTGACCCACGGCGGTGCTCACAGCTTTCTCTAGGTCCTCGGCCACCAGCTTGGAGACTCGGGACAGGACATCTGTGACGCCGTTTAATCGATCTTGAAGGTTTGGGGTTACATCCGTGGGGATATCCTTGAAACGTGGAACTTCTATGACCATTGATTCCTGTGAAGAGAGATGCATATCAGAGAAGACCTTGATGATTTAGCAGTTGAATATTTTTGACTTTGAGTTAACCACTGGAAGTGTGTGCTGCAGTTAATGTTTAAGCACCGTTCACACAAAAACTGGCTGATATATCCTATAGATATCAACACGTGTCTAGATACTGCAGTGTGTGGGACTGGGACTTTGGTTCTTGTCTTACAGACTAAATTTACTGTTACAATATTACGGTACAAAACAACTGACCCTTCCTAAGTCCCGCCCCTTTCTTGTACTTAGATATGCTATGGTTAAAAGATAAAAGTAATAGTCACATCTTAAGCTAGCTAATATTATCAAAACACTTGCGAACTAGCTAACTTATCTAAATCAATTGTTAGCTAGCTAGTTAGCGGGCATTTTGCTTACATTAGCTAACATATCGCTTTGATCTTTTAACCATCTTCAAATGTTCAACATAGACGAGGCTAGCACGTAGCATATCTACGTACAGGAAAAGAAGAAAGTTGACAGAGGTTCTGACTGAGACTGGTCCTTTAAATATCCCCTTACACATGCTGTCAACGGTACAAACAACTCATTGTACAAAAACACTTCCTCTCTTCAGCTGATCATTCACCAATGAAAACACACCTATGAATATTATATTTCATTTCTGCCTCAGTGTTACGCACCGGACCTTTAATATCACGAGGGATTTTTTTTAAATCATCAAAGTTCTGTTTCATTTAACTGTGTCTTTGTTATGAGACACCTACAGCCCCAGACTGAGCTAAATCCATCCTTTTCCACACATCTCACTGTTTCTGTATTGTTCTTGTGAATTTCACTCTCACAGCGTATGCTTGTTACTCTTCTGCATTACAAAAAAAATAAAAATGCAGCACATGTGACCTTAGAAGACTTCATCCTCAGTTGGAATTGCAGATTTTGCTGGTTTGACAAGGGTGAGAACAGCCATCCTTCATTATGTAAAACCGCTTGTGAGTGATATACTGTTTTGCCACCAAACTTAAGTCTGTGATGTCAAACCTTCCACCGGGTGAGCACACTCAGCCAGCTCTGGTTTCAGGAGTGCGTGTAGTCATGTAATGAGACAATACACTACATATTGACATCTGTCACTCTAGCCTCCTGGACTGTCATCCAGGTATGTTGTGAACAGTATGTTTTTTTTTTATCTACCTGCGTCAAGTGTGATCCTGTGTGGGATACCGTATATGTACTTATATGTTCTGTGGCCTTTGTGTTGTATATGTATCTATATGTTGTGTCTTTGTTGATGTCCTGAGCACACTGAAGCAAATCCCTAGCAACTTGCACCGAGTTGTATGGCAATAAAGTATTGAATCTTGAATCATATGGAACGAGCAATTCTCTGTTGAGATCACAGGAATAAATATTCGTATAAATATATCGGTACGTCCTGACTTTTCTTTCTTTCTTCCATGCAGTGCAGTACAGTCGAAGTGTTACATTGCAGTCCTTCCATTTGAGCCAAATGAACGACAGTGTGAAGACAGGGGTACAAACCTTGATGAGATCTGTATCAGAGAGGTTGTGCACGGCTGCTATCTGCCCCTGGCTCTCTTGGAGTATCCTGGAGCGCTCCTGGAGTTCAGCTAGCCGTGCCTCCGCCTCACTGATGGCGGATTCTTGCTGCTCCTCAATAAAGAGCTCTGTGACCTCCTGCTTCTCAGCCAGTATCTTCATCAGGGTGGAGAACTTGACCTTGACCCAGGTGGAAGTCTGCTGAAGAGTCACCTGTTGGAGGAAAAATGCAGATTCATATGCCTGCTTTGTTCCTGCTCTTTTTTTATTCATCTACAATAATAACAAGTTTAATTGTTTTCTGAGCTGCAGCTTATTCAGCTAAGGCCTCAACATGCTTCCCTTAAAATAAGCTGTAAGCGGCAGGGAGTGTGCTAATGTGGTTAGCCACTGAAAGTTAGCACCGCTTGAAAGAAACTGGCTTACATTTTGACTTTGGATCAGTATGAAACATTGCAAGAGATGACTAAACTTCATTTAAATTCTATCAAACATGGCGCCCTGGTGACTCACCTGATAGGGGTGGTGACCATGGGTTCAAGTCCGACCTGTGGCCCTTTGCTACATGTCATCCCCTCTCTCCCTCCTCCTCTCCTGTCTATCTGAAGCTGTTCTATCAAACATGGCAAAGTGGTGAAGCAGTAAACTGTAAGGCTCCAGTAAAACAAAACTCAAACTACAGCGACTCTTGCACAATGCATTTCCGTCCTCTGTAATCCTCCGGCTCTCTTTGGCGGCTTCTTTCCTCAACTTTGAGTTAGGTCACCTTTTTGGCATGTTGAGAACATTTTGTTTGAAGTATGGCAAAACCTTAAGGCTACTTTTCACATAAGAAACGAGAACTCACCTTGGCTTGACTGATATTCTCAGCCAGGTCCTTAATACTTTTTTCGGTCTCTTCCATGAGTTTCCCCACCTCCTTACTCTTCCTTTCCAATAGCAGCTGGAAAGAATACACATCAAACTGAGACAGCAGGCTTTACATAATCACAATAGTAAACTGGACTTGGATTGGTGTTATAACTGGACTGACTATACATGTTACACTCCAAGCTAAGCAGCTGTGGTGGCGCTGTCTTACTGTACCTCTTGATTTTCCCTCTCTGCTTCCAACAAGACCTTCTCGTGGTTCACACACTCAGAGATGCCGCATTCACAGCACACAGACATTCTGTCCTGCTTGCAGTAATAAACCAGAGGCTTTTTATGGCGCTCACACAGCAGCATGGCTCTCGCCCCTTCGCCTCCCCTCATGTGCGACTCTCTAAGAGAGGGAGCGGTGCTGTTTGTAGCCTCAGTCAGGAGCGACATGGACACATTACGCTTGAGGATGGGTCTGGTGGGAAACCGCTGATTGCAGATGGGGCAGTGAGGTCCGATATCAGGCTTTATATTGCTGTCCCAGAACTTGGTGATGCAGGCCTGACAGAAGCTGTGACCGCAGGGGAGGGTTACAGGGACTTTGAAGCGGTCCAGGCATATGATGCAGGTCAGGTTTGAATTCTGAGAATCCATCTTTGAAGAAAGAGCTGACACCTCTGTGAGTAAAAGAAGTAGATCATGATGTGACAGAACTCAAACATATCCTTATATCATATATATGTACCACACCCTGACAGTAATGTTAATTAATGCTTCACCTCTGTTTATTAAGAGGTTAATGTCACATTTTGTAAAGTCCTGTATATAAAAACTCTCAGAAGGGCAGGAAAAAATAAAAATAAATTGCCCTACTTTGTGTACTGCCAGTTACCAGACTGTGCAACAAAGCCACGGACGGTCAAGCAGCAGTACAAGGCTCAGTCCACAGAGTAACGAGTAACGTATCAACACATTAACTCACTCACTGGAAGGAAGAGCTAACGCTAGCTAACGTTAGCCTGGGATGGTCAGTTCACGTTAGCTAGGGGACTGTTGGGGACAAATAATAGTCAAAGATGAACCGACTGGTGGTTAAACTGTGAATTAGAGCTCATTGTAGACTCGCCGCCTAGATACAACCCAAAAATAACACCAAATGAATTCTTACCACTTCAAAAGATGTATATTTGTGCACAGCATCTGTGCGAACAGTCGTCAGATGAAGCTTCCTTGATGACGACACACGCAAAAATGATGCCTTCACGTGTTGTCGGGAAAACGGACAAACTCAAAGGACACAACACGAGTACGTGTAACTTTTATTATTAGTGTTACAATACATTTGCAACAATGATATTCACTATTTACAGTCACTCATTCGCTACACACTGTAATATTCCACTAACCCAGTTTGGTTTAACAGTAGCTAATAATTACGCACAAAACCAAAAAGTATAATTATTTTTATTTCTGTATGATAAAGGTGTGCTAAAATAGCCTAAAAATAAAAAAGGTCTATTATACTGGTGAAGCTTACCATAATATATAATATATAATATGTTACCATTATTGTCTGATACAGTAAACAAATGCTGTGAGGTAAAGGCGCACAGAGTCGTTTCCATCCTCTCGGCCACCGTATTTTCTGACAGGAAAGGGGACAAACTCACTCCAAGATGGCGCTTCGCACGGCTTGTGCCGTTGCCTTGCGAACTGGGACAGATTTAGGGGTCAACAATGCGAGGACATTCGTCACAACAGGTATTGTAACGATACTGCTCATTTCAATTGGGTTCACATTTAGGAAGTCTGTCACCGGACTTCAGTTTTACACGTACGGCGCGAATGTCACGTTACATCAGCCTGAAGCAGACTCACTACACGCTGAGGAGAAAGACATTCACCAAACCCCATAGAAAAATATGACGATTCAATGTGAACCTGTAAAGGTTGGCGAAGGGAAACATTTACGACGTGTAGGTCAAGAGTAGTTACCGCTGACAATAAAATGGTTTGAGGAAACACAAACATGAAAGGTGAAACAAGTGCTGCCTGCTGTAGCTACTGGGCTTATGTTTCTACACATGCTAAAGTGAACTGAGGAAGAAATAAATAAATCTTCTTCTTTATGTAAAACTAAAACTAAACTACTATATATTTGAAGGGAGTTTCGCATGTAAAGAAGATGTCCTTTAGTTGGTCGAGCCTGCTGATACTGAGGTGGCCAAAAACCATGAATGACCTCTTTTTGTTTTTTTATTTTAAATGTGATTTAACAACATTATTAAATTCACAATAACATTACAAGGCAAAAACACAGTTACAGTACAAGAAATATAAAATAAAACCAAAATAAGTAGAAAATAAGTACTGTGCATATACAAACATGTACAAGTATAACCTTAATACCACTGAAACTTACAAATACAGATAATGGTAGGACAACATGACAAACGTTGTATTGCTATGTAACGAACTGTTGGGGATGTTTCCATATAACAGCTTTCCTCTGCAAACGGGTACCTCCTTTGGGTCCAATGCCAAACGAGGAGTTTGATATGAAAAATCTGCAGTCGGTGGAGAGGTATCGCAGCTACAATCGTTACTTCAGACAAGCCGAGGAGATGAAGAACAAACCTGCCTGGTGGAAGACCTACAGGGGCTACGTGGAGAAAGCGGATCCCGAGCATGGTGAGGAAAACAAAGGCGCTGACTGCTGATAGGGATTCTGTGGTGGTGTGAAAGTGCTCGGATTTTATTCCGTCGCAGTTTGAAAACGTTCACAGTTTAAGCGGGTCTTGCTTTTGTTGCAGGCGCAGTGCGAGTGGACATTGGACTGCCGTACTATCGACCCTGCAGGCTCAAAGAAGTGAGGGAGAGGAGGCAGGTGATGAAGGCCAACAAGGAGAATGCTGACTTGGAGAGGGCTTGTCGTCTGCGCACTTGTAAGCTCACGCACACTCAGTCCCCCTCTAAGCTCAGTGAAAATCAGATTTTAATTGTGAAAAAAAGGGTTAACTTTTTCTTTTTCATCTTTGTCCCATTAGTTAAAATCCCTCTGGATGTGGTGCAGGAAGTGTGGAAGAAGAACCGTGGTCCACTTCATATAAAGAAACTGGCAGACCACTACGGGGTCTTCAGAGATCTCTTCCCCATGGCCTATTTCCTACCTCAAGTCTCACTCCACATCTGCTACGGCCAGGACAACAGTGGTACAGTGCATTTTGGGAATCGGTTGACACCAACTGAAGTACGTTAAAGAAATGGAAGTTTACAGGGTCCTAACAACACTTAATTTCCTCCCTGAGTTCCGCATCTGTATTGAATTGTATACCTTTATATGTCTTCTCTGACTCTATTCCTTTTGTCTCTAGGCAGCATCTGTCCCTCAGATCAGCTTTGATGCGGAGGACGGCTCCCTTTGGACCCTTCTGCTCACTTGTCCAGGTCAGCTTTCACAGGAGGCACCAGATAATCAGCAACTCTCTATACTGGATCAGTCAGATAATTGATAGATTCTTAGCTATGGCTACAGAAATAGTGAAAAATATCCCAGCTAGTCTCTCAAAGTCCAAGGTTATGTCTTTAAACATCTTGTTTTGTCAGTCCAAAACCCAAGGATATTCAGTTTAATGATATAAAACTCTATTTGAGAGGTTGAAAACAGTATTTTAAAAACAATATAAACATAAAACAATTAATTGAAACAATCATTGTAGCTCTATTCTTAGCACTGACATATTGTCTAAAATCATTTATCATCTTTTTCAGATGAGCATCTTCTGGAGAATGAGGCAGAATACGTCCACTGGCTAGTGTGAGTACTTAAAGTCAACTGTGCTTTAAAAGTACAATTAAATCATTTCAGTTATCATTACTCAAATGATAAACTGTATCAATTATAGTTATTCAATCAACCCATCTTTAACCAGGCAGTTCCATTCAAATTAAAATGCGATTTTAAGAATGGCTCATGTTTCTGTAGTGGGAACATACCAGGCGGAGCAGTGCAGTCCGGGGAGGAGCTGTGTCACTACCTGCCCCCCTTCCCTGCCAAAGGAACAGGCTTCCATCGCTACGTTTATGTCCTCTTCAAGCAGGAGGGACCCATCAACTTCCAGGAGGATGTCAGGCCGTCGCCATGGTGAGCACTCTGACAGGAAGCTGACGCTCTTCACAAGTTATTCACTGCACAGGATGAGTTCTGAAATACAGTTTTTCTTTTTCTAGTGATGCTCAATAATAACCTTGTGTAGTGATCAGCATGTGTTATTGGCCTCAATCACAAAAACAAAGATTCCACCACAGGAAGTGACAGATCGTACAATAGACGTGATACACTGACATTTGAAGCCATAGTTCTACATTTTAGGAAATGCGCTAATTTGTTTTTCCCTCTGAGAGTTAGCTGAGAAGATTGATACCTTTCATGTCTATGCGCTAAACATGACACTACAGCCAGCAGCTGGTTAGCTTAGCTTTACACTAAGTAAAGGCTGAAACCAGCCTGCCTCTGTTCAAAGGTATGAAATAAACAATAAACAAGACATAATGTGTTAATATTTAAGCTTTAGATTTTGAGCAGATTTAATTAACGTTTGGACAGAGACAGTCTAGCTGTTTCCTTCTGCTTTTAGTGTTAATATTAAGCTAAGCTAACTGTCTCCTGGTTCCAACTATATTTCTAATAGACAGATATGAGAGGGGTCTCAGCTGTCTCATCTAACGGAGAAAATAAGTGCATTTCTTCAGCTGTTAAATATCTATAAAATAAAATTCGCTCAGCACTCAGTTCAGATAAAGTTAACTCACCAATATTCGATGTTTGACCTCTTGTTGTGGAGAATTTGTTTGTGGGTATTTAAGTTCAGGTTTACTGATTTTCTCTTTAAAGATGTCTATTAATGTACTGTCTATCACTATATAATGAGAATTGAAAAATAAAAAACTGTAAAAAAAACAAAGAAAATCCAGGAAAAGGATTTTTTCATGTAAAGCCACGTTTGCACCCAAAGTAACTTTTAATCCCAGGAACTACTTTTCAAGGAATTACAATGTTCCTTCAGCCCACTGTTGTCTGTGTTTTCACCACAGTCTAAAGATGAGGCAAATTAGTTGGCTGACATGAAAAAGCTGTTTTTAGATATTATTGTGTATGACTGTACAGCAACGAGGCCTGGACTTGGTCGTTGGTCCATCTGTCGTATGCTTTCTTCTCTAACTCCATGTTGATGTGTTGAAGCAAAACAAACAAAAAGGCAAATTAAAAAAAAAGATGGCTATCTGTCCCCGGAACTTGGGGAAAGTTCCTGCAGTGGAAACGCAGCTTAATGTAACCAGGTCTCTTAAACCTGAGAGTTTAGGTGTCAGCAGTCATAAAATCTCTGTGAACTGTATTTACCAGCATAAAAAGTTAGTTCAAGTTTGATACAGCAACAAATACACTAAGCTTGTGCTGCTTCTCCTCTCTAGCCATTCTCTGGTGGATCGAACATTTAAGACGGTGGATTTCTACAGAAAACACCAGGACAACATGACGCCTGCAGGCCTGGCCTTCTTCCAGTGCCAGTGGGATGAATCTGTCACCAACACCTTTCACAACACACTCAGTGAGTCACGCCAATGCGCACAAGCACACTGCAAGGTTTTTGGCCTTCAGACATTTTACAAAAATTGACCAAGTCCAACTCTTTTCATGTGTGTGCCAGTTGCCTGTGGATTAATAATAAAGCCTGCCTGTTGTATCTTCCCCCTGCAGACATGAGGGAGCCGGTGTTTGAGTTTATCCGGCCTCCAGTGTACCACCCTCCACAGGTCAAATACCCTCATAGACAGCCCCTGCGCTACCTGGACAGATACAGAGACGGAAAGGAGAACACATATGGAATATATTGATTATTAGACACACACTCACAGAAAGGAGAAAACACATTCATTGCAAATGTGTCGTTGTGTTTGGCATATTTATGTTCAAATAATAAAGCATTTTCCACCTGTGCTGAGATTGCATTTTTACCTCTGATGAGAAGGTTTTTAGTCCTGTTTGATATCAGTTTGTTAGTTGAAAAAAAAGTTTGGTTGAAAGAACAAGGGAGGCCACACACAGAAGTCAAACAAGTAATTTATTTAACTCAAAATCCAAACATATCAACTAAATGGCAAGATGTGTAAAGATATCAGTCACATCCATAATGTTAGAGTTGTGTGGTTGAGTGAAATGTGGTGCAATGTGTGTTGTATGGTGCAGTGAACCAAAAAAAAGAAGAGGGCTGAGGGTCTGTGCTGTAGGCCAGGCCGAGAGAGATACATGAGGCCTTTTTCATTTCCCAGTTTGTACATTCTCACCTCCTCGCATCTTAGTCCCTCCTCTTTGTCCAATTTGGCAAGTTTTTAAGACAACCTCTTAACAAGCTATCATCTGGTGTATCCAACTCCTCTAAATCTGCTGCCGAATCAAGAGGTGAGGTAACCCACAGGGACTGCTGTGGCAACAGAGGAATGAGACAACCCCAGACCTGGCACAGGAGAATGAGCAAAAAGTGATTCTAACAAGTTAATGTGACACAACTGCACAGATTTCTTCTTCAGGCATCAAGATTGAACAAATCAGGTCTGACACTTTTTTGGCACCGATAGTGGGAACTTAGCCTGAACAGGTGCCACACCTTGATTACCAGAGCAAAATTCACATCGTTCTCCTTGCTGATCATAAAGATATGTTTCAGCTGCATACTGGGGCCTCTTTGGCTTCTTCATGTCTGCAGGGAAGCTAAAGGGCCTGGAACTGTGTGACCAAAAACCAAGTAATTAGGACTAAAGCCAAAATCTCTTGGGAGACTTCTCTGCCAGCTAACATCAGCCACGATAACCCTTCCTCTCAGTCACGGTCTGACTCAGTGCAGTATGCACAGAGAAGGGACTTTGATGGAGTTTGATGAAACCTTTCCATAGCTCTGTGGCTCTGAGAATGGTACGCACTGGACTGAGAATGTTTAATGTTTGCCTGCTTTAACACTTAACACTTCAACAGCAGAAGTTAGATCCCTGATCAGACTGAATAATCTTTGGGAAACTGAAAATGACATAAACTGTGTCAGAGCTTTCAATTTGGTTTACCTGGTAAGGTTTTCCAGTCAACTGACATGTGTGGCACGTTTTAATGAAGTCAGAGATGTCTCTTTTCAAACAAGGCTAGTAAAAATGTTGTATGACTCTATCGTAGGTTTTACACCTTACACCTAAATGACCTGCAATGCTGTCATGAGCAGTCTGAAGTACAGTGAGTCTTATTGTAGAGGGCAGAATTATTTGCACAATCTCATCCTACAACACTGTCCCCCTGGGGAACCCATTTTCCTCACCAATAGGCGATTTTGGAGAAAATATCCATGGGCAACACTCTCTACCTCATCATCTGGAAGAACTTGACTGTACAGAGCCTGAAGTGTGGGGTCACTCTCTACTCTCTGGCAAGGTCATTGCAAGACGTAGGTAAGGGAAAAGCAGGAACAGGAAATACAGACTCTCTCTTGTGGTTTGGCTTATCAGGACAAAAATACCCTTTGGCACTGCAGCGGTGGGAAGTACCACAGACTAACTTTCTACCTGGGAAGTTGGAGTGTCCACCAGTGTAGGATTGTCTGGCCACACTTGATTGCCAGCCAGGTAATTTCCTAAGATGACATGTACTCCCCACATAAGTAGGTCACAAACCCACGTCCACATCACCTGGTCTAAGGGTATGATTCTCGCTTTGGGTGGACGAGCCCCCATTTGTTACATACCCGGCGTACAAGCAAAAGGGAGGCCACACACAGGTGTATCAGTCAAACAAGTAACTTATTTAACTCAAATCCAAACATATGAACTAAATTGTGACATGTCATATTAGTCACATTAGTATTGTTACAGGTGTGTGGTTGAGTGAAATGTGGTGCAATGTGTGTTGGGCTGAGGGTGTGCCGTAGGCCAGGATGAGAGCGAGACTGAGACTCCCAGAAGGACAGTCTTCTATAACTTTCTGAGAGCCACACCCACATGGGCAGGTAAGGCAAGTGACCCTCCAAGCTCCACCTACCAACCAACCCAAGTATCTGTAAAGCAGACAGCAGAGCAAGGTAAACAGGCAGACTAGCAGACCGGGAGGGGTTTCACATCAACTACAAGTGGACTTCTGTAAAAAGTAAAATTTTGGCATAAAAAATCCAGATCCTCCAGAGGGAGCTGCATGAAATCTGATACACGTCCTCAAGTGATGTTGCACAAGTCAGCGTTGGTTGGGGCTTAAGACTACAAGTTTGAAAATGTAAAAAAACTTTGGCTGTGAAGTTAGAAAGAAGTCAGTTTACCAGAGCTCTGTAGCCCACTCTTCATCTCTGCTTGAGGCTACATTAGCTGCTACTAGTAGAAAGTCTTGCTTAGCAAAGATGGGAAATACTACCAAATTGTTAATTTAAACCAGTATGAATATTCTATAAAAAAAACCCCAGAAAGATAACAGTATTACTGCTTCACCTTTACTCTTTCTTATACATGTTAATTTTGTAACACTAGATGAAGCAATATGTGGGTCCACAGTGTGCACTGGGCCTGCAGCACACCAATAAGGTACATTCATATTTAGTATCAACAAAATATTATATGTAGGCTTTTTGGACAGCGTATTTATTAGTCATTTCACTGCCTCATTGCACAATATTTATTTACAAAATGTTTCTTTATTGCAGTACTAATGAGCAAGATAAACAACTTGGACTTGTGTAGCACACAAATGAGAGGGAAACTGTGAACAGTGAGGTGTTGTAGTGCTTTGGCCCCAGTCTTAAATGGCTGCTATCCATTTTTTAAACCACCAGATGTCACTGCAACTGCTAATAAGTACATGCAGGTCGGTTCACATAAATCCCAGCATTACAAGCAGAAACTCCTTCAACCTGAGCAGATCAAGGCTGTTAAATAGATAAATACAACATTCTCAAAGTTTTAATCTGAAAATTGTTTCACATGCTTGTCACTGGAAGTGCAGAGTCCAACTGGTACTGACTCCTCTAAAGAGAGAGACAATTAGAGCTGATCAGAAACAGCTGTGGCACCTGCAAGACTTAAAACCTGACATGTAGCACAGCTGGTAGCATTTTCTCTTGCTGACTGACTGAAATGGCTGCTGTGCAGGCCTCGCTTATTGTTGTCTTGACTGTTTGGCTTGCCAAAGGTTTGTGTACTTCTACCTACTGTTTCAAGCTTGTGTTTGACTTGTTGGAGTATAGCAATGTAAGAGTGGCAACATGTCTTCAGCCAAAATGGTTTGGCTACTAGAGTATGCTTTGGCATAATTTCTCAAACTGTAACTTAGCTATAATGAGTCTGTGATATGTTGTGCCATCACACCGCACAACTATTAACCACAAGTGCATCATCCATAGGTTCTCTTATGGGTGCTGGTGGGAAACCATGTGGTCAAGGGATGCAGATGGGAATGAACGGTAAGAACATTTGTGACAGAACTCTTCAGAGCTACTTTCTGACACTAACTTTACATCAATTTTCTCTGTTCTACAGATAAGTCCATGCCAGAGGCTAAGGAAGGTGAGGATATTCTATAAAATACTACTGGCAAAATGTGAGTTGGGTGGAGCCCTGGTTAGCCTCACTTTAATTACAGCTGTTGGCTACTTAAAATCGGATACAACTATAATATACCTTTTGACATCATGGATGAAGTAAGAACTCAATTATTGTTTTGTCATGTAGCAATAAAATGACTGCATTGGACTGAGCTGAGTCTTTTGGGGCAAATCTCAAGTCTGTTAATGCCGTTGTTTAAAATGTCGAGTGAATTCTCACAGCAGCGTGTCTGGAGACCATGAGTCAGTTTTACTTGTCAGTAGTTCATTAATCAACTGTCTGTTTCAGTACAACTGGAAACCAATGAAGTTGATGCATCAGCTGAACACATGAAACATGCACAGAAGGCCCTTAATAGACCTCAAGGACTCAGAAATGAGAAAAATGACCATCAACGGAGAGCTGGCGACCATGTGAACAGCGACAACCTGACGGCGGGCGACCATGTGCACGTGCACTGCAACAACCTGACGGCGAGTGACAACCTGACGGCGGGCGACCATGTGCACGTGCACGGCAACAACCTGACGGCGGGCGACAACCTGCACGTGCAGGGCGACCATGTGCACGTGCAGGGCGACAACCTGACGGCGGGCGACCATGTGCACGTGCAGGGCGACAACCTGACGGCGGGCGACCATGTGCACGTGCAGGGCGACAACCTGACGGCGGGCGACCATGTGCATGTGCACTGCAACAACCTGACGGCGGGCGACCATGTGCACGTGCAGGGCGACAACCTGACGGCGAGCGACAACCTGACGGCGGGCGACCACGTGCACGTGCAGGGCTACAACCTGACGGCGGCGACAACCTGGACCATGTGCACGTGCAGGGCGACAACCTGACGGCGGGCGACCACGTGCACGTGCAGGGCGACAACCTGACGGCGGGGCGACCATGTGCACGTGCAGGGCGACAACCTGACGGCGGGCGACCATGTGCACGTGCAGGGCGACAACCTGACGGCGGGCGACCATGTGCACGTGCAGGGCGACAACCTGACGGCGGGCGACCATGTGCACGTGCAGGGCGACAACCTGACGGCGAGCGACAACCTGACGGCGGGCGACCATGTGCACGTGCAGGGCGACAACCTGACGGCGGGCGACCATGTGCACGTGCAGGGCGACAACCTGACGGCGAGCGACCATGTGCACGTGCAGGGCGACAACCTGACGGCGGCGACAACCTGACGGCGGGCGACCATGTGCACGTGCAGGGCCCCTAGGGCGACAACCTGACGGCGGGCGACCATGTGCACGTGCAGGGCTACAACCTGACGGTGGGCGACCATGTGCACGTGCAGGGCGACAACCTGACGGCGAGCGACAACCTGACGGCGGGCGACCATGTGCACGTGCAGGGCGACAACCTGACGGCGAGCGACAACCTGACGGCGGGCGACCACGTGCACGTGCAGGGCGACAACCTGACGGCGGGCGACAACCTGACGGCGGGCGACCACCTGCACGTGCAGGGCGACAACCTGACAGCGGGCGACCACGTGCACGTGCAGGGCGACAACCTGACGGCGGGCGACCACGTGCACGTGCAGGGCGACAACCTGACGGCGAGCGACCACTGCACGTCCTGGGCTACAACCTGACGGCGGGCGACCATGTGCACGTGCAGGGCGACAACCTGACGGCGGGCGACCATGTGCACGTGCAGGGCGACAACCTGACGGCGAGCGACAACCTGACGGCGGGCGACCACGTGCACGTGCAGGGCGACAACCTGACGGCGAGCGACAACCTGACGGCGGGCGACCACGTGCACGTGCTGGGCTACAACCTGACGGCGGGCGACCATGTGCACGTGCACGAGCGACAACCTGACGGCGGGCGACCATGTGCACGTGCACGGCGACCACCTGACGGCGAGCGACCCAAAGCTCCTTGCTGATTGGGCTTCACGCAACACTGCAGCTAACGACAACCTAGAAACTTTAATACAGCTGTTCAAGAAGCTACGCAGAGGGCACCTGTAGGTGCTACAGCAGCTGTGGTTAAAGCAAGCAGGTTGTTTGGAACTGCGTTTTAAGTAGAGATTTACATTTGAAGAACCATGCAATTGTTAATTTTGCATTCTACATGTACCGGTTTAATCTGCTTCAAATAAAACCCTTGATTAACTGATTTGTCTCCTTCCCCCAGAGATTAGCTTTGTAAATGGGTTAAAGGACAAATATTTACTGTCTCTTGCAAATCCAGGGATGATACTTTTTTTTATTTTTTTTTTTTACTTTTTTCTTTGTTGCAGACTATATGTGCTGTCCATGTTTTATGGAGATTTTGAACATGCTGTAATTTAAACTAGATGAGCATTCTTCTGAAGACTACTAGCATAACAGTCAAATCTCTAAACTGAGAACAGTTGAGTTACATTGTGGGTAATGTAGGTCTATCAATTAAGTTTTAAAAAACAAACAAACCTGTCCATTATGAGACTGAACGAAAGATTAAAAGTTAAACTTCACTTATACTTGTAAACTTAGTTATTAAATTACAACTTCATATTTGACAAGCAGTCTTCATTAGCATAGCAATATAACACTTGGCCTGAGTAATAATACTACCACTTGAATCAATATAAAAAGACTGTTGCAATTACAAACAGCCAACAGATTTAAATGAAATGAGAAATGACAATATATACGTAATATTTTAATACAGGATAATTAAAATGATGCAACATACTTAGAAAGACCATGGACATGCTGTAAAACACATTAATTCCTCACAGGATCGACGGTGGAAATACAGGTGAATCACTAGGATTAATCTTAGCCTGGCTGTTTGCCTGGTCTAGAGCAGGCTAGCTGCAGAGAATAAATCACCAGAGTAACCGGGATAAGTTTGACCTGCTTTCATGCAACCGACTTGAGGCTAAATTCAGCCAGGATAACCAACATATCCCGGCTTAATCCCTTATCTTGGTTTGTGCAGTACCCCTCTGGAGTCTTTCGCTTGCTTTGTGATTTTTGTTTGTCAGACGTAAGAATGTTCTCTGTGGACAGGGTACAACCTGGCGTTCTGGCTTTTGATTGGCCTTGTGCTTTAGCAATCTTCCATGTTTTGTTTTACACACAAAGATCCCTGGGGATACGTTGGCTTAAGTTAAGAGGGCTCTGTGTCCATATATCTAATTGTAAGTGTGGGATGTATGTCCATACATGTGTAGTTCAAGTTGAAGATTGCCACTGAGAATATCTGGTCAATTGCTGTTAGAAGGGAGCAAATCGGCTGCCACTTGGCAGCATTAATATGCTTGCTTGTCTCATTTGTATCGAACACATTTACTGTATTGTTCTTGTTCTTTACTGTCAAGTTGTTTTAAAGTCAAAATCTTCAATAGCAAAATCAGTGAGATGTGTGTGTGTGTGTGTATATATATATATATATATATACACATAAATAAATATCCAACAAAAGAATAAATATTACAATCTAGACTAAAATCCACTATGTAGGACATTTAAGTTGACAAATGATATATAGATATAAATCACATTTTATTTTTGTATTGAATATAATTACAAATGGACAGGATATGATACATTTCATTATATGAAGTGGCATATTTGTCACCACAGTCTTTACTCAAATATACATACAGTAAGTTACAGTACAATACAAAAGTCCAGTTTTTTTTGAGGATACAGAGTAAGAATTCAATGGTAAACTACAGGACCCAATACCTTTTCATGTGTACCACATGTATAATATGAATTAAGTCCATGTTGAGTGTTTCATAATTCTTCATTTTTTTCCGTCCCCACTGTGATCAGTCATTGACGTCCCCACCAAGATTGTTCTTCTATACTACAACACTCACTCAGTGTCCACTGTTCACCTGTAAGCAGTGTCTTGTCTTCAGTCATTTTCGAGCCACCTGCAGCATTTCCTCCACAGTCAGGAGTTTTTCTCTGGGTTTTCCGGCAGCTTCGCCCCGACTCATCTCCACACTGTCAATCTTCTCCCAGTCAGAGAAAATCACTGGTTTCACTCCTACAGAAGATAAAATATAAACCACATTTGGCGATAGCTAAATACCATTTTTCTAAAGAACACCTTGTGACCAAACCAGTAACATACATTTCACTTAATGAAGTGTAATGGATTCTTGTTGAATAGTCCGCAGCTGCCATTTAGATGTATTTGTATTCATCAATAGCAGCCATGACCCAACAGCACAATCACATTCATTCTTGTACCTAGAATCTTAATTTTAGCAAACTTCTGTATAAGCTCAGTGTGTGTTTGTTGTATATATACATTATATGTATACATATAAGGAGATAAGTGATGGCACTGTTGATGGCGCTGTGCTATAATATCACAAGAAACAATTATTAGGAAAATTTGCAGTGAACCAATAGAACAATCACATTCTTTTAGCTTTAAATCAGTGTGATGTGGGGGAGGCATGACACATTGTCCTTTCTGTTGGAAACTTGTGTCTGTCAGTTATACAGAGAGTGATGTGTTGACATTTGCTGTGATGATATCTTGGGTAGAACAGAGTCATTATGTAAAGAGAAAGATTTACTTTTTTTAAAATTACGATAATAGCTGTAACATGGTCAGCCACCACATTTAGTCCAAACCTACATACTACTAGGCTGTGGATTCGGACTTTCAAAATGTTTGCAACATAGGTGTGGTCCCAGGTCAGATAACATGACTCTGAGTCATAACAGAACGTGATGAAAAAAGCAAATGGACAGTAGACTACCTCTCTTTTCCAGCAGGCCACTGATGCTTTGTGAACCAGGCTTGGCAGCAGATATATCCAATGTTCCTGAGTCCATGTCCTCCACCAAGGATCGTGCAGTGTCAAAACTATTGTTCATAGTGGTGGCTATCACCCCAGTGGGGCCTGTCTTCAGCCAGCCACTACAATAGAGACCTGGAAAGAAAGATGGATTCATTAAAGTCCCTTTTCAGTTAAAGGGTTTATCTTGTTAAGTTGTCTTGATATTGTACAGGACAACATTAACGATAAAGATATGATTACTTGTCCCGGAATGTGTGCTAAAACAAAAGGGTGGCATTTTCTTGCAAACCTATGGCAGTTGACTGTCTATTATCACACCCAGTAATTTAACCTCATCCACCTGATGTCCTTTGTTGTATATACCTGCAGCTTGTTGAACACGCCCCATGCTGTTTGGGACGATGGCTTTGCTGGAGTCAAATGGCACTGATGGATCGATGGGGAGGCTCTTGTAGCCTATACTGCTAATGACCAGGCCACAGCTCACATCCTCCACTTCTCCAGTGAGCACTGCCCGGGCTCCGTCACCTGAACCCTGGTCACACAGAGGTAACCAACTTTAACCAAGCCAATGTATGAAGAAGCTCCACATGGCTACACGAAGGACTTCTTGAGTTTTGAAATCCAAAACTTGGTTACCTCCAGCTTGTTGACCGCCAGCCGGATGCCAGCTGTTCGCTTGTTGTCAGGATCAGCCATGATTTCAATCGGGCTTCGGAAGAACCGGAAGGACCAGACGCGGGAGGCATTGTTCCGCCTCTCCTGCTCCTTCTCCCCTGGGATCTCCATCGCTGTTTTCAACATCAGCTCTGTCAGACGCTTCCTAGGCCTCGGCAAATCTGACAGAGCAAGGATACTTATCATGGTGGAGCGAGTACTTGGCTGAAACAAGTTTCCAGTTAACACTTGTTTACAGATTATGTACTTTTTATGGGTACGAGTATCATCAGAGTAAAGTGTTTCGATATCCCTACTCGGACCTATGGCAACTTTTATTTAAAAAAAAAAACATTGTGGTTCTGTATAGTTGTGATCAAAAACATTGCTCTGAAGATCAGTTCCGAGGCTGTTCTCTAAATAGTTTTCTAATAAATATAGCATCTTTTTATTAATCCATATCAATTTCAGGCTTAAATGAACAAATTCCAGTTAGACCTGCCCATTTCCGATTCAAGTGCACCCATAAGGCATAAGCCCTGCCCATTGAAGGTACAGATGTGAATACACGTTATTTAGTTGATTGAACAGATACAGATACAGATACAGATCAGGTGTAATCAGTCATTTGTACTATACTATACTACTGTAATACTTAAAATGAGCATCTGTCAATCATTTGTGACCCCAACTTTTACAGTAATTACAAGTCTCCTAGCTGAAAGTATGATCATGTGGCCTTATCATGTGTGGAAAAAGTGTGTGGCTGTATGTGTGAATACGTGTGCATATGTGCAAACATGTGCACACACCAAATTCCAGTAATCAGAAACTCATACAAGGACCTATACACCCACACTACTGAAAATGTCTACACTCTGCTGTGAAATCAGTTGTTCTTGATGAAAAATGTTCATTTCATGTCATTGGCCTTTAAACATTTCCTGTAAGTCAATTATTTTTGATGTACTGCTATAACCACGACAGTACACATTTAGATGCACAAGACAGACGCAAACCACAGGTTTCTAAAAAGATGCATCACTTACTGCTTATTGTGTTTAACAGAGATGAGATCAGGGTTCTCATAATTAGCCATGAACAGAGGCAAGGAGACTGTTATCTCTATAATGTGGAACATCAGCCAGCTCAATGTCATCGCTGCAGCAAGTACTGACCAGAAGGTCATCAGGACAGGGACGGCATATGGTCTTGCATAAGTTTTTTCAGCAGAAAAGCCTTGGGACTACAGCTCATCTAACACCAGCTGTCTTTACCTTTCAACAGTTTCCACTCAGCTCATCGTATATGGCCTATACTCGGTCTCAATAGCGCATGTTCCGGTGCTTAACCACAACATATAGTTCTTCCTTCCTTGTGACATTTTCAACTGTCTCTGCATTAGTCAAAGTTGTATTTCTGTTGAACTTATACTGTCAACATATGTTGTCTTGCATATTCTGTATTGCTATTTTGGCTCTCTCTTTGACTCTTATTCTGTATTTCCTTTAATAAGTATGTTACTGTATGTAGCCTATTGGGCAGCATTGACTCAAAATCTGAGATGTCCTCATTCTTAGGCCCTGGTGTCAACTGAAAAATGAAGAATGCAGCGCAAACTGATGGCCGGAAAATACCAAGATAAAACTTCATTTCTTACCTTTAACAGCGTCTTTGACACCCTCAAAATCAGCCGCCACCA